TTTTTTTTCTATTGAAAATAGGTGGAACATATAAAATGAAAACTTATCTTTCTTTTACTGCATGCATAAAAGCTCTTGCATCTATTAATAAAGGTTTGATTGTATTAGACTTATGGATTTTTATTTTACTAAAAAAATCTTAAGATAAACTATGGAAAAAATTAAGATTAAGAAAAATTCAATCTATTTGAGGATTATACTTCTTTAGCCACAATAATCCTAAAATAATTAGATTAAAAGAAGATTTAATGATATTAAATATTACTAAGCTATTATGATTTTTAGTTACTATATCTAAAAGAATTGTTTCATGAATAACATCTTTAAAAGACAAAAAATAACCATTTATGATTTCTACAAGTAAGAATTTATTTATTTTTGATTAAAATATTTTCTTATTTTTTAAGATAAGCTTTGTCTATAAAACAAGTTAAGGCTCATAAATCTAACAAGATAAAGACTTTTTAATTTTTTGATCCTAAACAAATTTCTATAGTAAAACAAGATGAAAGATTTAAAGAGAGAATATAACTATTATTGGATATTATGTAAGATTTCAGCCACATAGTTTCTATTATAGTTGAAAAAACTTGTTTTTTAATACATTATCTTTTTTGGCAACTATCCTCTTCATTTTGTGATTACATTGCATCTTTGGACAATGTTAAACAATATGCTTATGTTTTTCACAATAAAAGTATAATTTTTTTTGACAATGTCAAGTTTTTTTTTGCTCAATAAGAATTTTGAAACTTATCTTATGGATTTGTATAAGTTCCAACCTTGATGAATAAACTTATAAAAATTTAAAAGTTATTGCCATGATTTGACTTCTATTTGTTTTTGGCATCTTTTAGAGAACTAATTGTTGCATGCATATAGTAATATTATTCTTATTTTAATTTTTTTTAATAATTACATAATTACTTTTGAGAGGAATTATGAAAAAAATATATAAAAATTTAAAATTAAGTTATTATCTTATTTTTTCACCTAGATATTTTGATATAACAAATTAAAATTGAGATAAAACTACTCGCTGATTACATCAAGTCAAAGGCCACATTAGATCATAGTCTTGTATATATATAGGTTGTTGTCATCTCTTATTAAGTTGACACACCTAACTGCCTTTGCTGCAATCTTAAGAAAGAATGTCTTCTTGAGGTTCTTAATGGCTTCTTCATATCCATCAAATTATCATTCTTTATACTATTGAACTTATGTTGATCCATAAATTTGTCCAAGAATCTTCAATCTTAAAAATCACAAATTTGTTGCATGATTGGACCTTGTCAATTATGTGCCCAAAAAACTTATAAATGATGGTTCTTAATACTACAAGACTTTTCTATCACTGATATACATATTTACTTCAATAATTATTTTGATAATATGAATAGATGTAAGTAGATTAAAGTAGATAAATTTGATAATAACTTGTAGAAAACTTCTTTGAAGCTTTATAGATGCAAATTTGACTTTACATGTATTTTTAGTTGATTGAATGGTTAGAAACTTGACCAAGAAGTTAGCAATAATTTGAATGAATCTACTCTTGGCATTAGCAAAAATAAATCTTTGATATTGTCTTTCAACCCATATCAAAATTAATTGATAAAAGCTTTTCCATTTTAATCCATGATGTAAATAAAGTTTTGGAATTTTATAGTATATATGATTGTTGAATGTAATCCTTGTCATAAAGATAGGAATTTGGTCTCTACTATCTTTTCTCAATTACTTTTTCCAAATACGATTGTAAAGACTTTTAAGGATGAATTGATATTACAAAAATGTTATGAATTATTTTCTATCAAAGGTGCAAATCAAGAAAGAACACTCTTAAATAGAAATATACCTATTAATCCAACTTGAATAAATTTAATAGGGTATTGGAAAGCATACAACCTTAAATAGAATTTCACTTATTATAGAAATTTTTAAAACTTTGATGTTATTTTGTCAAACTTTTCTAGCATACTTATTGTTACATCTTTTATATTTGTAATACCAAAACTTATCACATTCAATTATGAACTTGATTTACTTGCTTTTCTTAATTGCTCAATTTCTAGGCATAGAATTTGAACATTATTATTCACTTCTTTCATAGGAGTAGAAATAGTACTTTCATAGTTTACATTAAAAATATGTGATATTTTAATCCTAAGAGTGTTGATAAGCTCATGAAGATCTATAATATTTGTAAATCTATTTTTGCTTCTATCAAGAATAGCATCTATAATTTTTCCTTCTATAGACAACTTAAATAAACTCATAAGTCAAAATAGAGGAGAATAATTTACAACTTCTAATACCAAATAGAAATTTCTACAAAGAAGAGTAATTTAATCTCTTTAAGAAAAAAACTAGTATTAAAAAACCAAATTATTAATTTAAAGGTAAGTAGTTTGTAACCTTCAAAATACAACAATAGAAGTAGAACAATTTATTCACTTCTAAAAAAAAAACAAGAACTTTGAGTTAGCACTCTTGTTAAATTATCAAGGACATTAATCTCAAAGGACTAAAAGAGCAAGATACTCTTGTGTCTCTTAAAAAGACTAAAAAAATCATTCAAAGATGGTATAATATTAAATTAGAATGGTGGTTGTCAAAAAAAAGAAGACTAGAAAGTTTTGAAACCAGACTAATGACTAGGAAGGCATTAATAAGAGTAAAGAAGGCTTCACTCTTGCCTCCATATTTATTATCCAACTGGGAGCTATGTAACAATATCTTATATGACGTCCATCAAGTATAAGATATGTGTCTTAATTTTTAAGGCAATTTTTTATATATATGCAACATAGTTGGCTTGTACTACAAGCTACCAATACATGTGACCTATGGCTAACTTCTTAGTCAAGTTTCTAACCATTCAATCAACTAAAAATACATGTAAAGTCAAATTTGCATCTATAAAGCTTCAAAGAAGTTTTCTACAAGTTATTATCAAATTTATCTACTTTAATCTACTTACATCTATTCATATTATCAAAATAATTATTGAAGTAAATATGTATATCAGTGATAGAAAAGTCTTGTAGTATTAAGAACCATCATTTATAAGTTTTTTGGGCACATAATTGACAAGGTCCAATCATGCAACAAATTTGTGATTTTTAAGATTGAAGATTCTTGGACAAATTTATGGATCAACATAAGTTCAATAGTATAAAGAATGATAATTTGATGGATATGAAGAAGCCATTAAGAACCTCAAGAAGACATTCTTTCTTAAGATTGCATCAAAGGCAGTTAGGTGTGTCAACTTAATAAGAGATGACAACAACCTATATATATATACAAGACTATGATCTAATGTGGCCTTTGACTTGATGTAATCAGCGAGTAGTTTTATCTCAATTTTAATTTGTTATATCAAAATATCTAGGTGCAAAAATAAGATAATAACTTAATTTTAAATTTTTATATATTTTTTTCATAATTCCTCTCAAAAGTAATTATGTAATTATCAAAAAAAATTAAAATAAGAATGATATTACTATATGCATGCAAGGGTGGATGGCACATGGAGTGTCTATGTAGTAATAAAAGGAGAGTGTCTACCTTGCAGTTTTAAAATTAACTTACAATAATAAAATTAAATTAGCTACTTGGCTTAGTATTTGAAAATCAAATAAATTGAATAGTAAATTTTCATAGGATGTTATAATTTGTAAAAACATTAGTTAAAAAGTATCCCATTTAATATAACATTTATAACCAATTGTTAAGATTGTGAAGTATATATTGATATATAATAATTTTAGTATTACAGAAGCTAAATTTTATTGGTTGTTGCACAATATATATATATATATATATATATATATATTTGAAGTGTATCAAAACATTGTTAGAAATGCATTCACTTTTATAAAAATTAGATTTTTTTGCTCTAGAAGTAATAAAACCAAGGTAAAGACTATTTAGTCATTACTTTTCCTATAAATTTAACTTAAAATGCAACAGAGAAGGAGTGATCAAGGTCTTAAGTCAAAAATGTCGGCTTCGAGAGGATCAATAGAAGCGGAGCCAGCAGGTGCCACAATAGCCTTTCAGGCTCCTGTCTTTACCACCGGAGCTACAATCCAATTCTATCGCAACCTCTTCTACAAGACACAATCTCTTCAAATTCTTTAAAATTCCACAGAACTAACATCGTCAGCAAAGTTTGTGATGAATCAGTTAATGTGCCACAACCGGTACAAAAACAAACTTTCTCCGGCAACTGCTATCTAAGAAGACTGCCTTTGTTGAGAGACTATCTCTGTCAAGAGACTACGTAAGTGAAGCAGTTCATCTCCATCAGACACTAAGGTCGCAAATATAAGCAGTCACCTGGAACCTATAGCCATCTCATTGTGGATTTTTACTATTACAAATTCTGCTTGTGATGAAACTACTCTTGATCCCAATAGACACCTAAATTGAACGTCAAAATACAACCACACCCTTGTTCTTGTTACTAAATTCTGGACACGCTTAACGCAAAATTCCTCTCACAAAAGTTTCAGCGCGTAGTAGAAGCATGCCTTCTAGTTTTCAGACTAGGGACAAATTCTGACAAACCAGAGGCTCACCTATCGTCGAAGTCCAGACCTCGACTAGAGATTCGTCATCCTCTAAGGTTTGAACCTGACGTTGGTTCTCGCGGCTTTAACCTCAGATATACATGCAGACATAATACTCACTCCACGAACCGAAGCATTTCAAGTTCCACCGAGAGAGCAGTTCGTTCCTTCCAACCACCGTGTTGCGAATGAGCGAGGGATTTCGAAATCTCTACCTCAAGAGCGTCGCCGCAGCAAATTACGACTCAAGAATCGGTCATCCTGCTAAACTTAACACTAAAATAAGCACTCTCTCCAAGGATCTGATTGTAAGGTGGAAGCAGGAGGCATTCCACTGACACCTGCCAACGTGTCACCGTCTGTAGGCAGTTAGAGAGGGTGCTGTTCTAACCGGTTTTAGTATTTCTGTTTGCTACAGGGAATATTAGTTTGCGTTTTTGCATTTCACGCCGAGCCTATTTAGCTCTTATTCTACTTCAGATGCAACCTCAACAGTAGCTGTGAGGAGAGCTGATCATTCTGTCTTTTCGTCATTGACGCATCTGTTTCGCCGATCGGATCCAGGAACATGGAAAATCATCAAGTGTCTATTCGATATAAATTTTTGTTTGTAGGCAAGATGGTGGTGCTTTCGTTCTGAGTCAGTGGATGTGTCAACGAGCTCTCGTTTTTGGTATATTATTTCATTCGTGATGAGGTATGCGTTTTGCTGCTCGAACACCATTGAGGGCCGAGGACCTATAATTTTTGTAATCAATGTTGAGGTTGGCAACTCTCTTCTACAGGGATCCTAGTCAGGGCTTCGCTGTGACCTCGGGATGTCAGTTTCGACCTATTATCACAAACCTGGTATTCAAATTTCTACTTCCACGTTTTGATGTTGTAAATTCATTAAAGAAAAATTTGAGGAGCAGTGAAATCGCCCCTGCATCATTATTAGCTTCATCAACATTGTTTGTTTATGCCATTGACATCTTCAATTTGTTATCATGCTCGATCAATGTTCCGACACTTGTCTCGCATAAATTAAATTATAATCGTTCTTAGGTCTGTGAATGACAAAAGGGAATCTCTTAACTCTCGTTTCCTCGGATAATTGCTAATTCATATTGAATTGGATTGGATTCTCACGCTTAATGCTTTTATTTTCTCTTCAAAAAATACGTTCGTCGATTTTAGTCAATTCTTTCTGATTTAATTGCGAAGTTACTTGTAGACCGAATCTGAGGGGATTGATTGATCATTGAAATCTCAAGACAAGAGCCCTTGGCTGAAAGAAGCTCTCGGCTGATATGGCCTCATCTCCACCATCCTCTCCAGCTACTGCATCTGCATCGGGTGACGCCGCAAATGATTGCTTCTCTGAGTTGGAAGACGTGAACATGCAGCTTGCACCTGTAAGACCTCAAGAGTAGAATTAAGCCTTGTGAAATAAAGTCATGTTTGTTTATCTCGTGAGCCTTCACTGCGCTTCCACGCCCATGCTTTGCGAACGTTGTTGCAGCAGGTAAATGGAAGAATATTGGGATTCTTCTGTCATTCTAAATTGCTCTCTGGTCAAAAATCTTAGAGAGCTATTCATGGCGTTCTTGCTGTGTCTGGAATCTACTGCCAATACTCATCAACAAGTTTGATTATGCATTGCGACTTACTCCTTAATTCAGGATACGGTTCTGCAGGGATTGAACGACTCCAGAACTGAGCTACTTAGCCGTGTCCAGAACTTGAAGCAGGTGAAATTTGTAACCTACATTCGTGACTATACTTCCCGAAACTGGTCCACTGATGTGCTTTATGAGTCTCTACGTACTCTTATAGCAATAAGTAAATGGTTTTAACATATGATCAAAGACACTATGGAAAACATCATTTAAAAAATACTAAAATGAACGTTCACCTTCTTAACTTGATATATTACTTTGATATCGATCACATTCAACATCTACGCCCGGTAAACAACCTTCGCTTTCAATGCAAGTGCTGATCTCTTTGTAGTGTAGTTCCCTCTGACTGAATGTGTTTCCTTTTGCAGGATCTTCATGATTGGAAAGGGAAATTGGATACAGAAGTTAATTCTTACAATGAGGTGTGTTCTTTACATCTTGTATCTGCGTCGTTCGTACCACATAATTTATCCAGCCAATGCGAGCAGTTTTGCGAAGAATTGATCCGTGAACACGATGCCGAATCAGTGAAACAACCCCTACATGATACACAGGAACTCAGTTAGTTTGCGACATTACAGTTTATGATGAGGATTGTTTGCCACTTTCTTGCATTTAGTAGAAATTTAGCTGGCGACACTCTCAAGTATCGTTCGAATCGGTTTCAGTCACAGTATTTAGATATCCGAGCAAAACTGCGACGAAGATCTAAATGACCATATATCGTTCGTGATTGCTACAGGAGATTGGAGACCTGAAAAACTCCCTCAATTCAGATGTTGAACAGCTCAAAAACGTAAGATTCAGTGTTTCTGACAAACCGTATTTTTATGGCCCATTCATTTAAAGGTTCATCTGTTTTTATTTTAGTTGTTCGTGCTTAGACATCTCAGCCTGTAAACTGTGTGAAAAGTTGGCATGAATGGCTTACTACATTCTCTAATACTTGGTGGTTTTATCCATACTTACCTTGGTAAATGTTTGAGCATTTTGTCCCTCGAACATGCTACTTAGTGCCATCACATGCTCAGAATATCTTAACGCTTTGTTTCAAATTTTATTTTAAAAAGCCTTCTGAATCCCCGACTTCTGGATGCGTTCTGCCAACCAAGAAAGTGCATTCATTGTATGCGTAGGTCCATGAAATTTAAATGCGAGAGCGTTGTAATGTTTGATAATAGTGTAGCCCTGTTCAAAAACAATCAGTTGAGTTCGTCTCCCTAACTCCAGGAATTCCAAGAGCTGAGAGACACACTGAAAGGACAATTGGCAGCCGCCACATCCAAATTGGCCGAACTCGTATGTGCCCTGCGTTCTCATGTCTTCCTCTCTCATCCCACACGGCCTAGTATGAAGCTGTGCATGTCTCAGTTCATTTACCTATCAATCGGCAATCATGTAATAATGTTCTAAAAACTATTTACAAACAGATGGCGCAGTTTTGACACACTAATGGATCTTGAGAGACCCTCGTGGCTCTGCAAATGCTGCCGACTGGTTGCACATTCGATATTTTCTGCTAAGACATTCCGATGCTTTGACTGAGGGGTGTCCAGGATACCTCGGTGGTCGATTGTACACATTACCTTGAAGGCCTAACCACACACTGTGAGCTTGAAAAGGAATTATTTGATGATCTGATAGCAGACATTGGACTTCAGGTAGTAGACCATTTTCCCACCAACATTTTGCTTCTTGCCACTCTTGATAGTGGTTCAATGAAATTGTCGTGAAGTAGGTTTTCGTGAAGCAGGTTTGCAGAAAAGCGTAGATAATATTAGATGGAGATGTGTTTCCATCATCAGTTATGGTTAGCTTTAACTTTTTGGTGAGCCTAGTTACATGCATGCTTGAATTCTGCATGGTAATCTGGTCGGCATCATTTCCTGCTTCGTCAAAAGGAGATGGTGACACCAATGATGAACAGCTTCAATGTTTTGGTCTCATGATAATCTTTCGTTTTGTCTCGTCTTGCAGGATTTAGACAAGGAGCACTCAGCTTCGTTTGATCATTCTAACCTGGAGCATGCCCATGCGGCAACGGTAACACTAGAAGAGAAAGTTGTGGACTAGACTTCGCAACGGCTGGATTCTCATCCGAGGGCTTCGTAGTCTGGTGGGTGGATCATCAGCTGCTGCCACTGAGGTGAGTATCTCCCCACTTCACAAGAGGGGTCTGAGAGATGAGGGTCCATGCAGGCCCTCCTTTTCCTCCTCCTAAACTTCTGACTTGCTTTTCACTTGGCGAGGAATCCAGTATGGGATGGAGGTCGCATTTTCTCTGCACCAGAAAACGTCTCATTCCCTCTCTCCAACACTGCATTACTTCCATTGTTTTGAGAATCTTGTCTTTATTTTCTAGTGCATCGAAAAGTACAAAAATGAAAAATCATTTAGCGGCTCATTTTCACACAGATGGTTTTTTAACTGTTGGCATAGTTTTTAAATGGATATTCCGATTTCAGATTAACTGATGTGATGGTTCTAGTAGACAAGTAGTTGTATTACGACTTTCTTGCGAAAAACTAATATAACATTTTATGTGGAAGTATATTTTGTTCTATATATCACAGATTAGTACATGGATTTATAAAAAAAAATAATGGTTGATGTTTTAAACTAATTTCATAATAAAATAAAAATGTTTTTTATTTTTTTATTTTTCATTCCATTACATAATTTAAATTTTATGCATGATATTATGAAATATATTTAAGGTATTTTTTCAAAAAAAAATTCACAAATCGTTTTTCATATTAATTTTTATTACAATTACATATAAACATTACTTGAAGTGTTATGATTTTTTGAAGCAGGAATATATTTCTTCATTTGATTTATTTTTTTCTTCGTGTCCAGATTTTTTCCATATTTGCATGTGTGTTGCTTGCATTTTAAAAATTAATTACAATTCTTTTATTGATTTTTAGGTATAAGGTATAAGCTTTTGATTAATAAATGATTATCAATTAGTATTTGCAAAAACCATTCTTTTTTGCCTAGCAGACATCGTGTATCATAAAAAAGATGAATTCGAAACTTTCTATGTCCATACTTTCTTTTCTTTATTTTTCACATTAATTTACTTTTGCCAATATTTTCTCACGTACAATATTTGGTTAAGATGTTTAAGGTAAAGTGTAAGATTCAAGCTTAATACAATATTTAACACGGCTTTGAAGTTGTTTTAATTGTATTAAATCAAACAATATATATATATATATATATATATATATATATATATAATTGTATTAATTGTATTAAATCAAAGAATATGTATATATATATATATATATATATATATATTGACATCTTCTCTCATTGCACAGTTTAAAGTCTGCAAATTGAGTATAACAGACTCAGATATATATAAATATATATATATATATATATAAGAGCATTAGTTATTATTTTTGAATAATTTATTTTTTCTTTATTTTTTTTGTATATGCATGCAAGTTTTCACTATGTATAAATATTATTGATAGAATGGAAAATGATTGTTGTTATGACATTGGAGTAAAGAATATGGGTCCATGTAAAAATGATGTGAGGATGATGATTTTTGTTTGCTTTTTTAGAATGTGACTTGAGTTTTAATTCTAGAAAATGAAAATAGGTAAAGACTTCATCCATCCCTATTCAAACTCTTTCAAGATTCAAAATACTCTCTCTTTTTTATATTATAATGTCATTCGTGGTCCACCTTCCAAGAATTAATGTGTCTTTTTTGAAGAATTTATAAGAAATTTATACATCTTGAGATTATTAATATTCAAATTTTTAATTGGTTAAATTAGATTTTGCAAAAACAATAATACCATCCACTTTCTGTTCCTAATAACATAACTGCTCATCATTGTGTTTACTAGGTGATATATATATATATATATATATATGACAAGTATGGAAAAGGTATTAATGATTTTTAAAAATTAGTAACATTCATATTTAAACAATCTTGCATCTATTCCCAATACCAATTTCATAACTACACAAATGTGTATTGAATTTTGCATACATGTCCGTGCATGCCTACAATTTGTTTGTATATTTACTGATTGTGTGATTGCAAATCAAGAACTTGTTTGACTTATAGATACATGAATATATATATATATATATATATATAGACACACACATACCAATTAATTATCAAAGGGGAAGAGGGAATGGATTAGAATATGGGCATTGTGTAGATGCTGAATCCTATGTTCACAATGGAGTCATGAGAAAAGGGACCAGAAGAGAGCTTATTACAAGCCACCAAAACATCAAAAAGTAATATTTTGATTTGGCATTTTTTCAGTATTATTTGCAACATAAAAATAGAGATCAGATTCTACCATTGTTTGTCTCTATGAGTATGTCAGCTTTTTCCAAGCATTCAATTTGTTTTAAATATTTATCATTTTGTTTTAATCATAATCCTCATTTATTGAACTGTTTTGCTTAACAGCTTGATGGAACTGATCATATGGCAATTGAGTGTTGGCTAGGCTTTGGTGAGAGACAGTATTCATCTGATTTCTAATGATGTTTTCCAATTCCTCCTCTTCCATCAAAACTTCATGCCCCTCCATTTATACTTGCATAATACATTTAACTACATACATTTCTATTTACGCATGTGTTTGAATAGACCCCCCCCCCTGCAATCTTATGAAATGGAGGGAACCACCAGAATAGAATAAATAGTTACAGTAAAAGTAAAAAAAATTAGGGTGCCAAACCAAGCCCATAAGCATTGAGTTAGGCTCTTGCAGTAACAAAACTTCAAAACTAAAATATTCATTACCATGAATGTGCTCCTCAAATGCCATGAGTGTTGGAAGATCACTAGATTATTACTCCAACCCATCCCCCCCACTAATTTTGACATATTCAAAGATGAAAAAGAACCTTTTTTATGAGAGTAGATCAGGGTAAGCGTGGATCACAATGGAGCCACACAAGGAGATTCACAATAGGACAAAATTGCTCATGTGTACGTAGAGTACTTTATTCTTCACACGCATCCTCAATAAAAACAAAAGGCTTTTTTACTTTTTACCAATAATAAAAAATTGCATGTGAAACATAGTTTAATGGAGTATGCAAGGCAGATCTGTTAATTTTGAAAACTGGAATGGATGAGAAGCAAAATTAGAAAGAGGGGACAACAATTTCAACAAGCAAATTTGATGGGAACACGGCACACATATTGCCAAGGAAATTGTTTGTTTAGAAGGCAGAGTTTCTCGGAAGCCCCACCCCTTAAAATTAAAACAAGAGTCTTATTTGACCAACTTTTAACCTTTATGGCTTTGAAAGCATCTGCTGATTAGACCTGGGATTAGTCAGTCATATGTTATTTAGAAAAAAAAATTATTATTATTATTATTATTATAAACAAAAAAACAAAAGCAGAAGACATTTTTTGGCATCGATGCAAGCTGGATGAAATCTTGTCAACTTTATGTCACTACTTTTTGCAAACTAAAAGGATATTCGCATTATTATTATTATTATTATTATTATTGTTTTAGAAATGTTAGTTAGTGAGTGGATGAATGTTGTTGAGATCATTAAATATAGCCGGCGCTCTCCATAATATTTACTGTAGACTACAATAAATACCATAGCTACAATATTTAGAGTCTAGTGGAGAAGTATTGTTTATCTTCTCCTCTTTTCTCTTCTTGTATATGAGACACAACCAGATGAATAGATTTTGTATGTGTGAAGCTCTCTCTCCTTAGAAACCCTCTTGTGTGTATGATTTACTACTACTCTTGTGTGTATGTATGATTTACTATTACTCTTGTGTCTTTCTAAACATTCTCAACACGTTATCAGCACCACTCTCTTCTACATACTATTACAGTTTTTTGCTCTAGTCTTTGACTCTTCAAACCTGTTGCTACTTTTGCTGAGTGTTTGCCTCATGATCTTATTCTTCTTGCTGGCCCTACACATTAGCTGCTTGCTTAGAGCACTTGTTCCACTCTCTACCTTGCTTGCTTAGAATACTTGATGCAGCCCAACTGCACCCCAGCTTGTTCCCTGCTCCCTACTGCGCCTCGCACCTGCCGTCGAACAGTTGCCAAGGTGCCGTTGAATTCGTCACTACTATCGCTGCCACCCTGTCGCTGCCCTAACGCCGTTGTTGTTGCCACCCTGCCGCCCTACCGCTGCCGCTGCCACTACCGCTGCTGTCTGCCACTGCCCACCGATGCCACCCTATCGTCCTACCACTGCTTGATGCTGCCATCTTATTGTTGTTCTGCTCCCTTAATCTACGATTCTCTCTTTCAAATATATATATATATATATATATATATATATATATATATTTTCAAGTTCAAGTTTATCATTTTATTTGACTTTATATTTTAAGGTACGTTTTACTCAACTTTTCTACTTGATCTTGTATTTTCTTTACAAATTTATTTATAATGAGTGATTCAACATCTTCAACTGCTTCTACTATGGTTCCAACTATTACCAATGCATCCCAACATTTTCAAGCTCTTTTATTTCCACCATTGACTGTGGATGGAAACAATTATCTATTATGGGCAAAAATGGCAAAAGCAAATTTATTTGCAGAACAACTCTCGGATGCCATTATGTTTGAAGAATCTCCTACAACAAGTATTTCTATATCTCTTGCTATTCATTGGAAAGCACTTCTTCTCCTTCGTCGTCATCTTGTACCTGCATTACAACATCAATATTTGAAAATGGAAGATCTTGTACAACTTTGGAAGAATCTTAAATCTAGGTTTGATCATCAAAAGACCATTTTTCTTCCACGTGAACATCATAATTGGACACATTTATGTATCTTGGATTTTCCAAATTTAAATGCTTTCAATAGTGAAATGTATAGTATTGTCTCACAATTACAAATATGTCGACAAAATATTTCTGAAGAAGAAATGATTGAAAAAACTCTCTCTATATTTCCTCATATATTTGTTGTGCTTTCACAAGAATGCAGGAACATGAAATTTTAGAGTCATTCTGATCTTATGTCCTATCTACTTCTTGCGGAGAAGCAAAATGAGCTACTCTTGCGTAATGTGGAAGCTCGTCCTATTGGAACTACAGTTCCAGAATCTCATGCACTTAATATTTCAAAGTCTAAGAAGAAATTATATAAACATGGAAAATGTGCTCATAAGTATCAAAGTAGTCATAGTGAAGACCATTTCTACCCATATGAAAAGAATAAACGTTCTACTATTAATTATAGTAAAAAACAAAAATCAGAGATGCGTTCTTGCCATAAGTGTGGAATGATTGGACATTTAGTATATGTGTGCCATACTTCAGAATATTTTATTAAAATATTTTAAGAAAATAAGAAATTATGAGCTGAGGCTCGTGAAGTTCATACTATGGATGCATCCATGGATTCAATTGGTGTTGATGACTTAGAGGCTTATATGAATGGTAAAACCTCTAATGATGAATCAAATGATACGCTCATTGATTCTGCAATAACACATACTATCTTGCGAGATAGATGATTTTTTATTAAAAAATCTTCAACTTGGCAAACTAAAAATATAATGACCATGCCTGGAGTAAATGCGTTTTGTTTCCAAGAGGGCACAACCATGGTAAAATTACCTA